AAAAAAAAAAAAAAAAAAAAAAATTTAAGATGTTGAACTGCTTCTCTTATGCCAGAAGTACAGACTAATAAAAAAGCAAGTGGAAGAAATTATGAGAATGGTAGCAAGGACAGTATAGGGTCTCGAAAGGGAGTACAGCGTGGGAAGTGCAAAGGCCTCGAAAGGGGATGTACGGGGCTGTGGGAATCTACTCCTGGGTGTACCTACCACCTGGGTGTCCCTGAACCACCCTAAGTCTCCTCTGTCAAGGGGAAGCCTGCTTGCCCTCCCTTGCTACCTTCACACAGGAGAGAATTTATATATGGGCACTTTGGAAACTTCAGAAATTACATACATGAAATAGAAATTACATAAATGATCACAAACACCGTCAGAAACCCTACCCAGCAGGCTCGTGGATGACAATGGGAGGAATCATACTAGAGGGTAGAGGGTGCAACTAAGCTCATCCACGGCCATCAAAGGGGCAGCGCTGACTCAGGCAGGGTGTGTGTGACACACTTGCTGAAGCCTTTCCCCGAGCTCCAGAGGATACATGGTCACCTTTAAAGGCATTGAGGAGGGGCGGCTATTGCCCCAGCATGTTTAAAACCACTTTTAGCTTTCTGGGAACCCTAAACCCTCTCTTTGTAAAAAGTACCACATACATAGATCTCTTCTTTTTGATCAATGGCACCGTAAAACTGATGGCATTACTGAGAGCAATATTTGTAAATATTACAAGTGGCATGTTCTGGGAATACTCTTACAATCTTATGCATAGGTGGTTTGCAAACCAACTGTAAACATTTTAGAATCTAAATCCTAAGGTACAGGAACTATCATAACTTCATTTGTAGATGTATTTTGTTTAAAAAAATAAGCCAGGCTTGGTGGCTCACGCATGTAATCCCAGCACTTTGGGAGGTCAAGGCAGGAAGATGGCTTGAGCCCAGAGGTTTAAGACCAGCCCGAGCAACATGGTGAGACCTCATCTCTACTAAAAGTAATAATAATTTTTAAAAAATAGACCCAGGTATGGTGGAGCATGCCTGTAGCCTCAGCTACTAGAGAGGCTGAGGTGGAAGGATCACTGGAGTCCAATAGTTTGAGGTTGTAATAAGCTATGATCACACCACTGCACTTCAGCCTGGTCAACAGAATAAGACCCTATCTTTAAAAAAAAAGAAAAAGCATACTGCTCTCCCCATGCCCACTGTTAAGTAATAAAACTCAATACAGGATATTTGTAAGATACATAAAGGTAGGAGAAGGAAAAAATAACATGTGTTACCCTAACTTAGAAATAGCCACTTTAACATTTTGGTATATTTACTTCTAATCTTTTCATGAATGTCTGCATTTGACGTAGCTGTGGTTAGGTTATATATAATTTTGTGATTTGGTTTGCCTTTTTATTACAACATAAACATTTTCCATGCTTTTATGAACTCTTCATAAACATTATTTTAAAAGATACATACAAAATGTTCCACTAAACATACACACCACTGTTTACATAACTCTTCCCTTTCTTTTGGATATTTAAGTTGCTTCTGATTTTTCAATATTATAAAGAGACTAATAACATTTATGTGTAAATTTTTTCTATATTTCAAATTATTTCTATTGAACAGACTGTGAGAAGTGAAATTTTTCTACCTTCATTTTTTATAATACTGCCTCCAAAAAATCACTTAATAAATATCAAATGACAATAATATCTCTCTGCATATTCTAATGGATTTATTTCTACTCCTCACTCTCTGGAAATGTTAGGCAAGAAATGCTGTTAAACTATACGTATTCACCAGAAAACCCATTATCCCCTCTCTGTCCAATAACAAACACGTGAGGTAGATGCTTGCTTGCTATTAACCAGGCTGCATCAGTTATATTTTGCTAATCCCTGGTACTCCTTCCATAACCCAGTATTCTCTCTATAAACTCAGAATTTAGAATATAAGATAGCATACAGGAACTTTCTGTACTTGAGAGACCTATCAAAGAAGCAGTAATTCTGATCTATATAACATGTCCAAATGCTGAAATGAGATCTTCCAAATTCTGGAATCTTAATCAAATAATTACTACTGATTTCTGGAATCTCAATAGGAGCCATATTCCTTGGCTTTAGAAATGTTACATTTGAACAGTTTAAATTATTTTGGTTTCTGTTTTTAAAAATATTTTTTAATTATGACAATACTATATGTTACTATATATTTATATTCATATTTATACTTACCGTACATACAATTTTGTATATTGCTTTTTTCACATAACACATGTATTTTACTCTCCTATTAACAATACATTCAATCACATTTTTTACATTGCTTCAGCAATGGTATAGTCACACTATGTTTGTATTTTCTCTTAAGAATATAAGTCCAAAATTTCTCACATTTCTAGTCTAACAAGAAATTCAGGACTGGATTCCACCAGCAGATTCCATTGAGGTTACCTGTGTGTTGGTATACTATGAACCAGGTATAGTGAGGCTCTTTTTACATTCTATGCTTCACTCCCTTAGAGTTCAATATGATCTGACCAGACTTTGCTCTCCATTTGTTTTATGGGCTGGATACATTATCAAACAACAAAAATACTACCACAGATTAGTTTCTAGAATTCATTATGTAATGATAATTTTTCATGCAAATTAAAAAGTGTCATTTTGGGATGGGGTACAGATCATTACAAACACATACTGAAACATTTGGTACTTTACAAGTAAAGTACCAAATGTTGTAATCTCTCAAACATAAATCCCTTACACCAAAATAGAACTCTATTTCTGAAAACTCTATTTCTGAATAGTGTCCCTTTAACTATTTTAAATGGTCTGAATTATTTTTAAGAAAGGATTTTGAAATTAAGTTTCTTGTTACCATGGACCTTTTCAGGTGGTTCTAATAGTCTGTGATTTAAAAAGATTCTATATTCCGCTTATTAGAATTCTAGTAGTTAAAGTGTCCCCCCCCAAAAATGGCACACACTTACCAGGGAGGTTGACTTCCATCAAGTATTTCATACACAATATGTTGGGATGAAGATAGCAGTCTTCAGTTATCTCTGGAAAACGAGGCAAATCTAAAAATGTGGCAACTTCAATTGTTTTTTTATAGATATCATCGTAGTTAGGCCAAGACTGAAATAAAAGAGAGACCATCATAGTTGCAATTTTTACAACAAAATTATTTTTAAAAATATGTTCTGATTTAGAATGGTTATTATTAAAAAGTCAAAAAATAACAGATGCTGGTGAGGTTGAGCAGAAGAAGGAATGTTTATGCACTGCTGACGGGAATGTAAATTAGTTTAGCCACTGTAGAAAGCACTCTAGAAAGGAAATAAGGTGTGGATAAATAACTATAGTACAAAATAGAAAGTTATCAGGTACCATGAGATTTCTCAAAGAACTTAAAACAGAGCTACCATTCAAGCCAGCAATCCCATTACTGGATATATAACCAAAGGAACATAAGTCATTGACACATGCATGTGTGTGTTCATCGCAGCACTATTTACAATACCAAAGACATGGAATCAACCTAAATGCCCACCAACAGTGGACTAGATTAAGAAAATGTGGTACATATACATCATGGAATACTACACACCCTAAGAACAAGATCACGTACTTTGCAGCGACATGGATGGAGCAGGAGGCCATTATCCTAAGCAAATTAATACAGTAACAAAAACCTAAATACTGCATTTCTCACTTATAAGTGGGAGCTAAACACTGAGTACACATGGACACAAAGAAGGGAACAACAGACACCAGGGCCTACTTGAGGCTGGAGGGTGAGGAGCAAAAAACTACCTTTACTGTGCTTATTACCTGGGTGACAATCTGTACACCAAACACCAAACCCCCACGACATACTATTTACCCATACGACAAACCTGCACATGTACCCCTTGAACCTAAAATCAAAGTTGGAAAGAGAAAAAATTTCTGATTTAGAAAGTAATATGTTCCAAGACAGAGTATTTGGAATGCTTAAAAAAGAAAAGAAAAAGAAGCAGACACAACTAATAACGCATTTATTGAATACAATTTGGAATTTGGAGACAAGTATGAAGAGAGAAAACCTCTATAAACCCTTAATATTTTAACTCAGCAATTTTAAATAATAAATACGAAACTTTAAAAGCCACTAAAATTCTACTTGGTGCACAAAACTCTTACTGGCTTTTCCCATGATATGGTAAAATCACTACTTCTTGCCTTCGAAGAATCTGGAGAAACGAAGAAAGCTACAACCCAATCAGAGTTATAATGTTGTCATGACTGCTCTGATACACAATTTCCCCCTCACCTTTCTCACGTGCACTCTCTCATTACCCTTCAAATTCATAGCTAACAAATGTAGCTCACTGTTACATAACATTCACATGCTTGTATATGGGAGTAACGCCAGGCTTTAAGTTTAGTAGTTAAAAATCCACAATTCAACTTTACACTAAACTGGCTCATACAAAAGTATATAAGATTCTCTTACAAAGTTCAGAAAAGCTATGAACAAATATTAATATATTAATTCTGTCTAGCACTTAAAGATCTCTTGAAGTTTTTTGCATATACCATTTGTATTTTTGCAATTTATAAACTTTCCTAATATTAATACTGCATGTAATTTTTCATTTACTCATCTATTCACATAAAAATATTTAATTTAGAGCCTATTCTATGCAAGGAATTGTGCAAGGTACTTTGGGAAATAAAAACTTAAATAAGACAATCTCAGAAATAAAAAGATGAATAAGACAATCTCCGTAAGGAGCTGACAATCTAGAAAGGAGATAAGGTATGGATAAATAACTATAGTACAAAATAGAAAGTTATCAGGTACCATGAGTAAGAAATAAGCAAAAGGCTTGTGGGATTTCAGAAAACTAACATTTCTGATATGGTAGAACACTATTAAAATTGAGCCTAAATACAAAAATTTTGAAAATCTATTTTGCAATATCTATTAAAGTTGAGCATATGTACCTCCTAGGTCAACGCAATTCTACTCCTAGCTATGTATACCCAGTAGAAACGTGCACGCATATCCATAAAAGACACGCACTAGGATGTTCATTCATAACAACACTATTTGTGAAAGCTCTAAGCTAGAAATTACTCAAATGTCCATAAATTACTTATCTAGAATAGATAAGTAAATTGTGATATAATCTCACAATGGAACATTACTCAGCAAGTGAATGTGCTGCATGCAACAATGAATCAATCTTCAAAACATAATGTTCAAAGTAAAAAGCCAGATGCAAAAGAGAATGATTCCATTTGTATAAAGTACAAAACTGATTAACTCTGTCCCCAACTTCTGTACTGTTAGAAGTCAGAGTCTGACTACTCTGGGGGTGGGGCAGGACATGACTACAAGGGAGCACACAGCAGAGCTCCTCGGGCACTAGGAATGCTTCTCCACGAAGCTGGGTCCTGGGGATGTGACTGTGTTCAGGTTGTGAAAATTCATCACACTGTACATACATTTATGATGTGTATGTGTTTCTCTATGTCTATTTTACCTCAATAAAAAGTGAAAAAAAATGTTTCATACATCACCTTTGTGGGAGAAATAAGTGAAAAAAAATGCTTCATACATCACCTTTGTGGGAGAAATCATTGCTCAAATACAAAGCTGGAAAGACCTTAACGTTTCTGTATAATGCTTATACAGAAACAATTATACTGTTAATTTTTAGAATCTTTAACTATGCTTGATTTTACTTTGCCTGAAGCTACAATCTTCTCTGGATTATATTTATTTTGGTACAACTATTTTAATATCTAAACCCTTACATTTCCTTAGGAAAAAACGTCTTCAGTTTATGTTATATAATCAACATATGATTCATCTGTAGCTGAAGAATACAAAGTAAATTTCTGTTAACCCAAAGTAGCAATGTAGCATTTTAAGTTTTTTCAAAAAATGTTGGGATAGAGTAATTCTACTTGTACACTAAAATAATATTAATTGTATTTTAATCTGTGAATTTTAAAGAGAGAAAAGAAAAACATAAGTTCTCAGTGACCTTTGAAAAGAAAGTGTCTTCCTTTTTATTTATAAAATTTAGACCTCTGCTTCATTCTGCACAGAATTTGAAGCATCTTTTCAAGCTGAGACAATTTAACATTACCAATAAGATTTATGGCAATCTTAATCCTTTAAATAATGCAGGTAAGAGATGTAATTAAGTATGTTTATCTGCAAACAAAACACTAGAACAGCAAATGACCCCCTTAGAAAAAAATCATCTCAGGCCAGGCATGGTGGCTCATGCCTGTAATCCCAGCACTTTGGGAGGCCGAGGTGGGCGGATCACGAGGTCAAGAGATCGAGACCGTCCTGGCCAACATGGTGAAACCCCGTCTCTACTAAAAATACAAAAATTAGCTGGGCGTGGTGGCATGCGCCTGTAGTCCCAGCTACTCGGGAGGCTGAGGCAGGAGAATTGCTTCAACCCTGGCAGCGAAGGTTGCAGTGAGCTGAGATTGTGCCACTGCACTCCAGCCTGGCGACAGAGCGAGACTCTATCTCAAAAAAAAAAAAAAAAAAAAAAAAAAAAAAAAAAAAAAAAAAAAAAAAAGAAAGAAAAAAATCATCTCAAAAAAATGATTTGATGGATGATAAATTCATGACAAGTATGTGTAAGGTCATTAATGAAAAGCAATTTAGTAGGCTAAAAGGATTTAGCCTATTTTCAAAACTTCCACATTAAAAGCTGATGCATCAAACTCAACATCTGGTGACAAATAGGCCACCATTCTTTCAAATATGAATTGAAGAGAAAATAATTATTAATTGTGCATATCTACCTATTTATACTATAGATTAGATTCCAGATTCTGCTAGATTCAATTCCAGATTAGATTCCAGATTCTGCTACAATCAATTCAGTATTACAGGCTTCACTTTTTAAAAATCTTTTTTATTTTTAAACAGAACTAACTTTTCCTTTTTGAATAACACTCAAAATATTTTTTTAAAGGGACTGAAAACCCTTTAACCACCCTTTGAACCGGTCTTCTCTCACTGTTAGGCATTTTAGGTTGTTTCCCATTTTTAAACCAATATAAAAAATGACGTGATGACTATATGTTAGCAACATTTAAAATTGATTATAAAAATAACACATGAACATTACAAAAAATATAGGAAATATAAAACTCTATACTAAAAGGTAATAAAGATCACTGACAGCTTACAGAAACCCTGTGTTAGGATCTTGGTGGCCTTTTCTCTCAGTACTTTTAGGCACATCCACATTTATAACACTGGGATTTAAATCCAATAGCCTATTTGACATCTCTATCTGGATATCTCTCTCCACATCCCTAAACTTTAATCCCTCCAACAGTGTTCCTTACTCAGTCACAAAAAGCAAACATTTTGGAACATCCTTGACACCTCCCTTTCCTCACACACCACATTCATTCCATTCCACAGGTTGTTTACTCCACCTCCAAGCCTGTTCTTCAATAATAGTCCTTCTCCTCACTTGAACAACTCTACCCCAGACCCAGGCTATCACAAACCTTCTGACAGTCCTGTATCTGCTTCTACCTCTTTGCAACTGGTAGCCAGGATAAAATTTAATTTAATTTATTATTATTATTATTATTATTATTATTATTTGAGACAGGGTCTCACTCTGTTGCCCAGGCTGGAGTGCAGTGGCATGATCACAGCTCACTACAGCCTCAACCTCCTGGGCTCAAGTGATCCTCCCGCCTCAGCCTCCTGGGTAGGCTGGAACTATAGGCATGTGCCACCACACTCGGCTAATTTTTTGTGGAGACGGAGTTTCGTCATGTTGCCCAGGCTGGTCTCGAACTCCTAGGCTCATGCAATCTGCCTGCCTTGGCCTCCCAAGTGTTGAGATTACAGGCATGAACCACTGCTTCCAGCCAGGGTAAGATTATAAAATGCAAATCTCATGTTACTCCCCTACTAAAATCCCTCTCTAATAGTTTACATTGCTCTTAGGCTAAGCTCCTGCCTGTCTGAGAGCTTTTGTACAAAACGGATAAGGAATATAGTTTCGTCTCCTGAATTTTGACCTAACATTATGTTTTGTGATTATTTTCTAACATCATGAGATAGCCTGTGAGAACGTCATTTTGAGTGA